CACACACAAACACACACACAGACACACACACACACACACACACACACACACACAAACACACACAGAGACAGACACAGACACACACACAACACACACAGACACACACACACACACACACAAACACACACAACACACACACACACACACAACACACACACACACACACGCACACACACAGACACAGACACACACACACACACACACACACACACACGCACACACACACACACACACACACACGACACTCACACACACATCACACACACACACACACACACAGACACACACACACACACACACAGACACACACACAACACACACCAGACACACACACAGACACACACACACACACACAGACACACACGACACACACACACACACACACACACACACAACACAACACACAGACACACACACACAGACACACACACACACACACACTCAACAACACACACCACACACACGACACACCTCACACACGACTCACACACACCACACACACACACACACCACACACCACACAAGCAGACAGAACACAACACACAGATTACACAACACACACAGGCACACACACCAGACAAACAACGCACTACTCACACACACACAACACCACAGACACACATGTCTGTGTGTGTGTGTGTGATAGACATGAGATCACTGTCCATGGTCCTGAAAGTCTAATTTTAATGTGTTTGCAGAGATCAGAAGAAAAACATCTTCAACCATTCGAAACATTCAAATAAAAATGGCTGCTATTAAATTCCCTGTGCTGGATGATCATCAGTGTGGGGTCCAGAGTCAGGGTCTCCATTCTTCTCTTCTCTTACATACTGTCATGCTTCGACCTTTGCGGGGCGTCTGCAGTTCCTTCCAAATGCACATCAATCATCTTCATTATGGGTGCTGACGGGGGCACGACTGTAGCACTGCTCTGATTGTAGGGTTGGTTTTGATCCAGTGTCACGTTCCATGGATATCAGATGTAAGCATGGTCATCATCAACAGATCTAGATCATTTGGAGCACAAGGAAGATACTGTGGACTGAGCTACGAGCCCATCTCTGGACTCCCCCCACAGTTCTTGAAAATGTCTACTGTTCTGGGAAACAAAGGCATTATGGACAGACCCCACATATTTTGCCTCAGCGTGGATTCTATAAGCTCGTGTTTTCCACATAAACACACAAATGTCCCACTCTTTTCCTCCATGCAGCAGTAACTACGGCCATGTCAGCTGGGTTGCTTTTTTTGGCTTTAATTATCAGTACAATGAGCAGTGAACTGTGGCTCAGTTTGCTTGGTTCATTTGAATCTTTTCCTCCTATTTTGAGAAATGCAAAAATCTCAGATGCACAGTCTTGTTGCTCCACTGTCTTTGTAAATACCAGCGATTAGTAACTAACATGTCGGTAAGTCTGGCACTGAACCTGTTAAACCCTCCGTCACTGTGTGCAAAGCGGCTCCTGGTTTGGTGTCCAGAGACGTTGTGAATATGAGCAGAGAGCTTGTGAGGGCTGAATGAGTTCTCTGCTCTGTCACTTTGCTGAGACAGGAACCAGCAACACAGTCAACAGTCATGGATGTGCCGTTTATCAAAAGACAGGCACAGGACTACAGCTGGAGGCCGCCATGATCACAGCTGATTTACTCTGCTGTTGCATCAGATCACGTGATGCAAGCTTGACATCAAGGGCGACCGTGGCTCAGGGGGTTGGGAAGCGTATCTGTAACCAGAAGGTCGCCGGTTCGATCCCCGGGCTCTCTGTCCTGGTTGTTGTGTCCTCGGGCAAGACACTTTACCCTGCCGCCTACTGGTGTTGGTCAGAGGGGCCGATGGCGCGATATGGCAGCCTCGCTTCTGTCAGTCTGCCCCAGGGCAGCTGTGGCTACAACCGTAGCTGCCTCCACCAGTGTGTGAATGTGAGAGTGAATGAATAGTGGCATTGTAAAGCACTATATAAATCCTATCCATTAGTATTATTATTATTATGCAAGCTTGACATCAGACTACAGGAAAGACTGAGCTCCACGTGTTTGAGTTACGAGTGCTTGTAACAACATTTCTGTGCCTTCCAATGAGCCGAGGTCTTTGATGAGGCTGTGGTTCCACAGGCCATGTTACACAGCACCTTATGTCTGTTTGTGTAAACATGTCCTGTATACAACTCTCACAGACGACCCATCTGTGCCCAGCAATATCTCGCTTCCACCTCAGAGTCTGACGTTTACAGTCAAGCAGCTGACTGATGCAGGCTTTTTAAGAGCAGTGCTGATATCTGGCGATTCAACCCTCTGTATTCCTGTTAGAAGGTTCCAGTTTACTTTGACTTACCTGACCGTCCAAAGACAGATCTGTTGGACCTATTCAGGATGTCCTGACACACAGCGCATCAAACGTTTTTGCATGCAGCACGCTAACAATGTGACAGGAGGAAGTGTTGTGATTCCCGTCTGAAGGTTTTCAAAAAGAAATTCTGGCTGAGACCTGGTCAGAGCCCTTCCCCCACACTGAATGCATACAGGATACCGAGGCAGCTGACCGCCCGCTCATCACTGTCACAGATAGTTTTGCTTTTGCACAGCTGTCCTGCTGAGTGTGCCTAAAGCCTGGCTGTGCAGTCTTTTATATTATGAGTTTCAGAGAATTCATTTACCTGCCATACTTTTCAACATGTGACAGCCAACATGTGGTTAAACATGTCTGCCGTTTGTTCTTGTATTCCAGCTGACCCTCTGGTTGGAAGCATCGCCACACAGTACCTGACCAACAGAGCTGAGCACGACAGGATAGCCAAACAGTGGACCAAGCGCTACGCTACATAGAGCAGCTCCAGGACCCCAGCGCCTCCCCCAACACACACACACACACACACACACCTCCTCTCTTCTGGAATCTATGGAAGCACACCTGCCCCTGTCATCCACCCCCCCAACCCCCGAGATACAAACTGTTATTTGTTCCATGCTGACTTGAAAAGCTTCTTTTTTATACAAAGAGTCTATTGGGATTGTATTTTCCAATACACTGAATGTTGATATGGTCATGAAAAGCTTTAATACTGTTATTGTTCTGTTGATGTTGTTGTTCTTATTGTTGTGGCATTGTTTATAACATTGTTGCCACCAGTGTCATTCTCTTTCTCTAAAAGCGCGTGTGATGAATTCCTCCCGTTTCATGTGATGTAAAAATGTTCATACTGAGTGAGTGCATTTCATTCTGTTTGTGTTTTCCAGCTCATGGTCAATATTAGTGCATGGCATCAGGACATGTGTTCATGTAGTGGACACGTAGTCCCGATATTTCTGTTCAGGCAGAACTGTGGCATGGAGTGAGCCCATCATCATGTATGACAATAGTGCTTAGTTTGCTGTACACTTAATGCCTTGTGAGAACATACATACTCATCGAATACTCAATAAAACACTGGCTGTCATGTGACACAGCTTCTCTCAGTCTGTTGTTTTAATTCAGCACTGCGTGATGTCAGCGCGTGCTCGTCGCTGTGACCACTTCCTGTCAGAAACGAGCTGTCAGAGGCTCACCGCAGAGACTGAATGATTAGAAGGTGAGAGGTAATTCCCCTCTGGGTCAGACATGATTGTGGCATCTGATGCAGTGTTTTCAGTCACTTTCTAGTAACGTGGATCCGTTCTACTCGCTCACGCAGTACATACTCGTTTGTTCCCGAGTCGGTCACAGCTGTGCACTTATGTAACCGTGTGTCTTACTTCCTCTTTGTGCTGTTAGACAAAAAGTTCGACAACACAAAGCGTCGTGACTGAGTGCATGTTCAGCCTTTATGGCAAAGACCTGCGTCCCGCAGTGCTGCTGGTCACTGATGTTCTGTCTGCGAGCCGTTTGAATCAAGTGAAGGCGGAGCAGCACCTCCTTACCCCGAACTGTGACTGCAGCCGTTCATCACCAACAAATTAACTCCAGAGCAAAAGGCACGGCTAAATACTTAAAGGGGAACGTCCTCATCTAAGTTTGTGCAGACGCGGTTAACAATAAAGTAATCCTGCATGCTGACACATTTACTTTCAGACTGTAGTCCAGGGCGAGCTTTCTTTTCTTGTTGTTCCCAGTGACGTGTTTGGAAAATGCTCCGACCACCACACGTCGGGTCAGTGACGTCTGCGCTCCCTCTGCAGTCCTCCTCTGACACTCAGCTGACTCGAGATGAAAACAGTGGACTTCCTCATGTATTTGTCATAATTCAGAACTAAAAGCAAAACAAATCTTTAGTTGTACTGTTGCACTTTTATTATTTGCAGTGTTGACTTGTCGGCACTATTTTACTTATTTTATTCTTCCTTCCTTGTGTCCTTGTGTTGATAAAGACTTTAAAGTCCTCTCAGAGAGCCTCTATGCTGACAGTAGGTTCTAGCTTGATTAGTTCTAAAATCATATTTTCTCAGTCTGCAGCTGTGAGCACAAATCCTGAAAAGCATTTTGTTTTAAACACTATTTAACCACCTTTGAAGTTCATGCTGCTGTCAAATCATCAAATCATCTCTGCAAGATATTTTCTGCCCTTTGTTTCCACGAGTGTCCTATGTACTCTAAGGAGCTTGGAAAGAAAAGCGTCTGGACTTTGAGTTGCTTGAAGACGTTTCACCTCTCATCCGAGAAGCTTCTTCAGTTCTAAGGTCAAATGGTGGAGAGAGATTTAAACCTAGTGGGATTTTCCATTCTCTTCAATGTGCACAGCGCAGTCCAGGAAAGGCAAACAGTCGTCCTTTGTGTCTTCCCTGGTGAACTTGATGTTTTTATCCACAGCGTTAATGTGCGCAGTGAAGGATTCCACTTCTTGTGTCTTGATTTTGACCCAGGTGTCGTCCACATATCTGTACCAGTGGCTGGGTACTCTTCCTTTGAAAGAGCCAAGAGCCTTCCTTTCCACTTCCTCCATGTAAAGGTTGCTACAATAGGTGACACGGGGAGCCCATGGCACAGCCATGTTTTTGTCTGTAGAAGCCTTCGTTGTATTTGAAATATGTAGTGGTGAGGCAGAGGTCTAACAGTGTGCAGATCTGATCGGGGTGAAATTGGTCCTGTCCTCCAAGGAGCTGTCTTCTTGTAATCGTTTTCTGACAGTCTCCACGGCCTCCGTGGTGGGTATGCAAGTGAAGAGAGAGACTACATCAAAGGACACCATGGTTTCATCTGGATCCAGGGGAAGTTTCCGGACCTGGAAGTTGGTGGAGTTCTTGATGTGATGTGGGGTGTTCCCCACAAGTGGTGCAGGATGGCAGCAAGGAGTTTTGAAATATTGTAAGTGGCTTACGCTGCTGACAATGGGTCTGAGTGGGACACCTTTGCATTCATACTACTTACAGCCCTGATGAACTCACATACTGCTGTATGTATGCAGTGACTGCTGTGCACGCAGGTGATGTTGTGATTAATGCTGAGGTCTTAGGGGTAGACGTTATGGGCCAGGTGTTATCATGAAAGTACTCTACCTGGATTTAAACAAGGACATGAAAAGCTGAATGGGGCTTGCACAGCTAGAGGTCTGAGTGTGACAGTGGAATGCTTTTGTGTTTCCATGGTTTGCATAGACGCTACAGAGCATGGCTCAAAGTGATGGAGTGTTCTCCTTTGGTTTCACAGCTGCCAGGCAATAAAACCTTCTAGTCCAAATCCATCCTTTAACTATCAAACATCCCTCATCTGTCTCCACAGCTATGAAATGTCTCAGACAAAGATAATAACTTACAGAGAACACAACAAGATATTTATGTGCAGATCAGATCAAGATATTCAACAACAGCACGTGTGCACAAGTAAACCATCCAAGGTGTGCTCTCAGTGTCAGGGGAACAACAGAGAAAAAGGAGACGGAGCATATGGGAGAAGGATGCAACACATAACAGCAAAGCTCATTGGCTAACAGAGCTGAGAGGAGACCACAGCAGCCTCCCTGAGCAGGCTCCAGCAACCGTCACAGTGACAGACATCCAAGAACGGGTCTCCAGCATAAGGACTTGGACAGCATCTTCAAAGAAGAACCTTTCATGTGCAGTGAAGATATTTACCTGTGGACACCTTAAAAATGAGGACTGACTTACTGTGATTCAATTTGTGATTCCAGTATTTTGTGATTTGCAGCAAGTTGATCTTTTTGCCACCTCCTCCCATTATTCACGCACTGCAGATGTAATGTTGTGAAAGAGAGGTGTGCACACACACACACACACACACACACAGTGAAACGTAGGTGATCAATAGAAGTGAAAGGCCAACGTTGTTCTTTGAAGAAATAAGAGCCTCGACTCCAAATAAGATTACATGGATGCGTAACATGTTGGAGGCAATAAGCAGATTATCACCGTGCTGAACAACACAAACACTACATGGCACAGTTTTGGTGGAGGGGACCTGATGTTGGATCTCGTCTTAGCGCTTTCATTCTGAATATTCACAAACACGTTTATAGGCAGACAGAGCAAGCTGGGGCAGGACGTGCAGCAGGTGAGGGTGGATAGAGACGGAAGTGTGCTAACAAGTGGAACGTGTGTGGAGAAGATGGAAGCAGCACTCCGAGGACCGATGAAGGTGGAAAATGAGAAGTGGAGCACGGATGGAGGACATTTAGTGAATCAGGATGTGCAGAGGATTAGTAAGGAGGAAGTGAGGGCGGCTGTGAAGAGCATCGACAGTGAAAATGTGGTTGGTTCAGGTGACACACCTGTGCAGGTACGGGGATGTCTACGACAGACAGAGTGGAGTTTTCTACCCACAGTTTCGGGGAGTGAGAGGAGGCCTGCAGAACAGAGAAGAACTGTACTGGTGCTGATTTTCAAGAACAAGGGTGATGTGCAGCTAGCAAACCATAACCATGAAGCTGTGGGAGAGAATTAATGAAGGGGGGTCAAGACGAGAGGTGACGATCCGTGAGCAGCAGTCAGGCTTCATCCAGAGAAACACTACAGATGTCAGGGATCCAAGAGAAGAACTGTGGAGCTGTGTGAGGAAGTCCGGAGTGGCAGAGCAGTCTGTGTGGACAGGATGTACGAGGAGGGCGGGAGGGGGTGAGGTGCGTGGCAGGAGTGACAGATGGGTTGAAGACCGCTGAAAGGAGCAGCCAGAAGAAGATCATTTACTCAAGTCACCACAAACTAATTACAGTCTGAACGTGCAACTCTACAGATCCCTGAAGACCTTCAGCAGGATGTTTTTGTTTACTTAAGTGCTCAGGATGATCATTTCAGGATTTAAAAAGAGAAAGTCTTGTGATAGTTTAGAATGATGCTACAGGTGGAGAAAACGATGCAGTACGGTTCATTTACGCTGTTGTTGGCTTAAAAGTCTAAATATGTTGAGTAGAAATATCTTCAAATTAATCTTAAAAATGCTTTTCACACAGTACGAGTGCACCTAGTAGTGGGTCTGATGTGTTACCATCTGCATACTGATCATTCCAGGCAACATTTTTCCAGTCTTCTCAATTTTGGTGAAGCCCAAAGTTTTGTTGTCAGCTGACAGGAGCTATGAACTGTCCTTTAAATGAACTCAGTGCAGCCGTTCTCAGGCTGAACATTAACAGTAGACAGGTTTTATTAATTCAATTCAGTTTTATTTATATAGCGCCAAATCACAACAAACGTCGCCTCAAGGCGCTTCATAGATACAGAGAAAAGCCCAACAATCATATGACCCCCTATGAGCAGCACTTTGGCGACAGTGGGAAGGAAAAACTCCCTTTTAACAGGAAGAAACCTCCGGCAGAACCAGTCTCAGGGAGGGGCGGGGCCATCTGCTGTGATTGGTTGGGGTGAGAGAAGGAAGACAGGATAAAGACATGCTGTGGAAGAGAGACAGAGGTTAATAACAGATATGATTCAATGCAAAGAGGTCTATTAACACATAGTGAGCGAGAAAGGTGACTGGAAAGGAAAAACTCAATGCATCATGGGAATCCCCGGCAGCCTACGTCTATTGCAGCATAACTAAGGGAGGATTCAGGGTCACCTGGTCCAGCCCTAACTATATGCTTTACTACCTGAAGGCACAGTAGTAAGGTGTGCTTGGGTTCTTACATCATTTCCGTTAGTACATAACTAATCCAAATGTGGAACATCCACGTGTGGATAATAACAGTAAATATGCTGCATGACAGTGGAGACGCGTGCAGGGCAGCAGTGATAAACTGGTTCATGGACAGGTAATGGCTTTCTTTCCAGATGAATGTTAGACAGCTTCTGTTATGACTGCATGACAGAAGCATAACAGCATCCTGTGTCCATCATCCTCCACTGCACATGTCCAAACCATCTGAGCCTTGCTTCTCCAGTGTTGAATCGGTCTATTTAAACCTAAAACAGGATCTTTTTGTAAACGCCACAAAATAGTTTTATGCCAAATACTTTGGGCGCATAATCCAAACCAACGCATGCGTGAAAACAGCGAATAACGCAGAAGATTTCTGGCAGAAAGCCAAAATGGA